TGTTAGCGAAACCAAACAAACTCGATAATCCTATTTCAGGGAACCAATTTCAGTATAATCCAGTTCAAACATAACAAGATTAAATATCTGTATGGGCTCTAACGAAATGCAAACAAAATGAGAAACAGAAAAAAAATCTCTCAAAAGTATCAATTTCAGTAATTAAAATTGCGGTCGTTTAGGTACGGAGCGTTTTAATTAATCAAAATTCAGGGAAACTAAATTAAAAACATTTAATATGATGATTAAAATATTATTTTGATTGTTGCATTGACGATGATAATAATATGGTCGGGTGAAGTGCGTTTAGAAAAGAGCCTGAATAAGAGGCATGTAGTAAGCATCATTTTGGAAAAATCTTGTCTTTTCGATAACATTTCCATTAACACATTTGATGCCGTGTCGGACAATGCTGTCCGACGCTAGCGGAGGATTGGCCTTAACTGTCAAACACCGCAAGGACACCGGTGTCCGCACACCTATTCTTCTTTAATTGTGTCTATAATAACGGTACTCAAAGGGTTAACAGTTTTTGTCGGCAGTTAAAGGTTTAAAAAATAAGAAACACGTTTCAAATACCTTGGTCATGGAGTCAAAACGAAGTTACCAATCGATGTCTACATAATTTAAAAAAGCTGACATAAAACGAAAGTCCTTTAAGTGAAAACTTCGCTTGGTTCTTGAAAACCCTCTCTTCACTAAAAACCAACTCAATTTCCTTAAACATTTAATTTTGTGTACAACGCGCTTTAGAAAATATTTCAATAACCAGCCTCGCTTAAGATTAACAAGTTTCTTCTTAGATAAATAATTTTAAAAGTCCACGGAGTTGCTGAACTGAGTAAGGAACTTCATTTAACTACTTTTAAGTAGGAGATTGGAGGCTTAAAGGCTTCTTTGAAACAGTTTTTAAACTAGTTATTTTCTTAGGTCAGTGGTTTAAAATCCTGTAAACATTTACGAAGGAAGATAGTGCAAGTTTTTAGGTTGATATTTGCATGACATTTTCGTGACGTACCCGTTGACTTGGTTGAATAACTATAGAACTTTATGCAGCACAATATTATGTTCTAAAACTTGATAGCCCGTGTATAAAACTTTCATATCGCTGATCTTTGAGATTCAACATTAGAAATGGATCGAGAAGTTTAACCGTTAAAATAAAGAGTAGGTACTTATGCTAACACATCAAAATACTACGGTACCAAGAAAGACATAGGTTTGAATGCAGTAAACCAAAATTGCGGTATCGACGAAAAAAGTCCTAAAGCACCATTGAAAAGCCTGCATGTTGCCAAAATCGATGTCGACCTTGAGTTTGGACGTCACACATGAGACCCATGACCAACAAGCTAGAAGAATCAAACAGCAAACCAGTTCGAATTATTGATATAATGGTCTTAATGAAGAACCGCATGTATTCAAAGTACAAAACGAGATGAATTGTCACACATACTCATACAATCAATTATATTGTAACTAGCAATGCAATGGAGACAAAAAATGCAAGAAAATGCGTGTATGTACGTATGCCAGTATTGTTGGCAATGACACAGTCTGAATACTAGGCTAACATGGCATGAACGATTGTCGCCGCGTTTTCTTTTACGATAGAAAGGTCGGAACCGTGACGTGAAATGTTGGAATTCTAACTTATACAGGGAATTCTTTAGATATTGTGTATACTGTTTTTATTAAATCTCTAGGAAACGTTAGAGGTTGAATTGCAACTAATGCACGTATTTAAGTAAAAGATGAGTCGATATGAGCTTCATTTCGTTAAAACTTAAATAGTCCTCAGATACATTATAGACTACTACAAATGTTTCGGTCTGTTGGTCCAGACGGTTTTATTAGATATAACTCTTTTTGGATACATTATAGACTTCAAAATATTCAAAAATCTTATTATTTTTGTGCCTTCCGAATCGTAGACTTACGAGAATATGTGCAAAGATTTGTGTTTAAATCTGAGATCAACTGTTTAACTCCAAAAAATTGTATAGAAAGGGTGCAACTTGTACTTGATCTACTAAGTTCCTACTTCAATTTGCGATGATAAGTAAGATCTCAATACACCTCTAGTTTCTGACAAGTAAGTGAAAACTAGTATTAATGGGCAGGTTCACGGAAATGGAGGCTTGTACTATAGCGGACGGACGAAGCCTTATACGGGGGCGTTATTGGGTAAAATATTGCAATAACGCTGGATAGACCGGAAGCCATGATTTTGCTTCCAGATACCATGTTGATACTTTAGCTTGATACAGAACTGGTTAGTGTGGAAAATATTATATGTTCGAACATAATATTATTATTAAACATGTTTTAACTGACAAGTGCAAAATGAAAATTAAGTAAAATAAATAAGCCAATCACGTCGATGTTTTCATTATGCGCTGGTACCCAACCTTTCCAAAAAAGATGGGATGGTATTATGTTGTAGGCCGCATCATCGCTTACCACTAACTACGAAAATGTTCAAACGCTGTATGCTTGTGTATAAAAGAAATAAAGAAAAAAAAACGCTGCCCAATGAAATTAAAAAAGGAATCTCAGTAGTTACAGCAGTAGCGTGAACTATAAATTTACCCACGGCCATAACAAAACAAAAGCATAAATAATGTTCTACAGAGGGAAGCGGTTCAAAATCGATAGCCTGGAGCGATCCCGGTATTGTAATCCAAATTACCGTTTACCGCCTACGCCGCGGTCCAGACGCCCACGGCTCAGCATCGAGGACCTATATTCCGAAGCTCAAGGACCGTAGGCATCGCTTTCCGAACATGTTTAATTTACGATGTTCCATGAATTTTGTAGTATCCTGATTTAGGAATATGACTGTTAAGATGCCTTTGATTGTTAATGGTTTTGTGCTAGTATTCCATTCGTTGTTTAAATAGTATCTCATTCTGAGGACGAATTCAGATAACAATGTTAATCTAGAAATTGTCCAATTTAAGTTAACCAAAATTTGTTTGAATTGTGGATTGTCTAAATATGTGAATGCCTATACAATACTACTCGTGTTTAAGGACTTTCATATCAAAGTAAAAAATGTTTATATTAGGAATTTAGATATATTTTCTTTTACCAAGCAACAAAACTTCTTCAGCCATATCTTAACATGCAACAGTTTAAAACAAATTACTTCGCATATGTTATTGTAGACAATTATCTGCCTTCGTGAGGAAAATCTCGAGTTAATTATACATTCAAAACGTGCGCTATGACCTGACAACTGTATGCTCAGTTTGTCACGTGTGTTCTAGCTAATTCCCTCCACGCGACTTTATGGGATAAAAGCAATTTCTTATTTACAAAATCTTCTGAACACTTTACTTTATATACAACATATCGGTGGAACTTAAGTTTCTATGTATGTTTTCCAAACTTTTTTAAAAATACTTTTCGATAAATTTTTTGCACTTTTGTGTCTTTCACCTGTTAATGGCGCTGTTTTGTAGATGATTCATTGGGTTCGTGATTATACTATGATGTTTGATTTATTGAGCTAAAATATTTATTGTTTCCTTAGCAAATATTGAAATAGCAAATCTGTCAGCAACTAAACTAGTAATAGTTGCATTAGAATTCAGATCACATAATGTCTCAAGGTTGAAACTAACAGGTGTCCAATAAGATCAGGTACATATCCGATATTTATCGCGATTTGTTTTCTAGAACTTTTTGGATTAAGAACTAACTTTTCGTAAGGAAACTGAGACATTTTGGGTCATGGACATCTTCAGGCGCCATATAATTTTGTAAAGGTACTTTAGGTATAAAATTTTATTAAGGTCATGAGGATAAAAAGGATATTTCGAACACACCACATTTATAACTGGTAGTTACTCGAAAAGGAAAATTACGAAGCAAAAACGAGTACCAAGTACAAATCACGGGCATGTTTTTAAGGGACAGAAAAAATAAATTTACCCTGTGTTTCAGATATATGATAAACATGTATTTCAAGATAATTTGTTTGAGATCAACGTTCATATTATTTAAACAGTGGAACGACCTTAAAATTAACATAATCCTATCGATTAGAATGTAAGTGAACGAGAGAGAGGTTTATGTCTAAAATAAACAATAGATAGTTTGACTTTGACGGTCGAGCACTAATTGTTAATACTTCTTCGCATTAAGCCAAAAGGGATAATGTAAGGGAAATTTAACTGGAAAAAGATGTGCAAGGTAAATGAATACCTTTATTAATAAATATTGACAAAGCATGCAGAATCATTGCGGAAAAACTTAAGTAGACTAAACAAGCAAACTGCCCTGAGAAACACGACAATGAAAGATGAATAAACTTTGAAATGGATAAAATCAATGACGAGAATGGACAGGTTCGACACAACGAAGTACACGCATAAAGTTCATTATCTTTTAAAGAAAAGGAAATAGCGGTACGTGATAATGATGATACAACATCAACCTATTACAGCTCACGAAACGTGCTAAATGTATTAAAGCGACATTTCCACATAGTCTCGGGTTATAACTACCTATTTAGAAAGTTATAACACAGGTAACTTCACGTTCCTCACATTTAAAACAACGAGGTAGCGTGCCCTCACCCAGTGAAGGGTTCGACTTGAATGTTAAGAAGTTACTCAAGTTTTTTTCTCCCTTCTAAACTCCTCGCGTTTCTTAGAACATCCCTTGCGGTAAGGTCGACGAACGAATAGTCTCACGTTTTATCATCAATATTTTAATATCTCCGAAGGCCAACAAAAGAGGTATAATAAAAACAGGAATTTAATAAAGATTATATTTCGTCATTTTGCCGAACGACCGGCAGTAGTTTGTCGTGAATTAAGGAATTTGTTATTCAATGTCTTGTCCTTTATAATTTCATCACAACAACGTATAAAAACCAACAGCATCATACGCAATTATCCGTCAGTAAATTGTAATAACAAAAACATCATTAACACTATTCAGACGTAAATCTCAACCGCTACTACAAAAAATACAACAATAAAAATTACCTTTCAACTTTTACGTGAAAAGCCAATTATGTCGACACGCAATTCAGTCAAATCCAATTCACTAATATTACAATCATTCACACAACACAAAATTCAATCCATATTTTATAATGCCGCGTCGCGATACGAAACACAACGGCACGAACCACACGTCCGTACGGTTTGCGCGCCAAACCGCGACTGGCAGGCTGCGTTCACAGGCAGGTCCACCGGCGACAAACCTCCACCAATGAACCGCTTCTATTTACCATACATTATGATAATCCGCATGCATTACCAATTTATTACATAGAACAATACCAATGCATTATACGGAACCGGTAATGTATTATGCACCAAATTAAATTGCTTAATTAAATGCCGCAAGCGAATTTTAATGATTCTGCCGATTGGTTAACACCGCACACCGTAATGACAACGAGGAAGCACTAGTTTCACGGGCCTTTAAAATTTATTATCTGATCTAGATGACATAATGGTTCCTATAGAACAATGGGACGAGCCTGTTAATGACTTGTATCTTAAAAAATCTTTAAACAATAGAGAATAAAGCTTAGATCTTGGAGCGAATGAATGCATTAGAAAAATATAATGAGTAAGGATTTCCCATAGCAATAATCTCAGTGAATACGGAAACTGGGTACCTACATGTATTTGAAGATATTTTACACAATGCTATTTCGAGTGTATCTAAATTGGAGTGTTATTAGAAACTTGAAACTCCATCTGCAATAGAAGTAAAATATCACATTGCGTGGCTGTCTGTTTCTGTAAGAACCGTATCGCGTTCGAACACTAGAGTAAAAGTGTTTTGGCGCTAACTCTATGCGGTGTCCCTGACCTGGTTATACAGCCTTCGTGTTTTATGCTAGCCTAGTACTTCACAATGCAGACTGGACCTGAATGATATATGAATAAAGCATAACAAAAACACATGAAAAAAGAAAATCATTATAAGTGCACTATTTAATACAAATAAATTAGAGTTGATGCGGCATTTTTCAAAACAGTACAAGAAATATAATATAGAGTACAATATAAACAGGACTAAGGTGTCTGACACAATATTTTACGAATAGCACGCAATAGCATATCGGATATCGTTTGACAAGTCGCGCCTTTGTTTCTAAAACCGCACTTCTATATTATCAAAACACATAATTTTGCTTATCATAATAGTCAATAAAAGTATTTATTGTATTTAGTACAAGGTATTTCACATGATTCATGAGTGTCATTTATCTTCTATGTGAAACCGACTATGTAGCAGTATCACCCATAGATTTTAAGATGACGTCAAAGGCGTAGTTAATCGTCGTAATCCGTCCGCTCACTGTGACATTCTAAAGGCATGGGTATTCATGAGAGGAGCGGATTAGAATCGCTGGGACATAGAATTGGGTGGCTGGTCACCTTTGTGAATATAGTTCGCAATTTCGGCCGTAGCAAATGTCAACACACGTAGTGACTGACATGTTGTTGCTCTAATCCAATTCCTGCTTTGCCAAACTGGAACTTAATTACAGGCAGCAAAGGGTGTATTAGAACAGCCTGATTTTTAAAGCGAAAGTGTATGGTCTTACGGACGTACTTTGTTAATTAGGAGGTTAAGTTATATAGTGTCATTTTATTCTATATTATTATCTCAAGTACGTCTGAATTTGTATTTTTTTTATGGGATAAGCCGGTAAACGTACAGACGGATCACCTGATGGTAAGCAATCGGCGTCGCTCATGAATACACGCAACACCAGAGGCGTTACAAGTGCGTTACCGGCCATCTGGATAAGGAAATTGGGGATTGTTGGGGATTCAGGGATTGGGGAAAGGGGGAGGGGGAGGGGGGTAAATGGGCCTCCGGTAACCTCACTCACACGACGAAACACAACACGACGTTGTTTCACGTCGGTCTTCTGTGAGGCCGTGGTATCACTCCGGTCGAGCCGGCCCATTCATGTTGAAGCATGGCTCTCCCACACTAATTATTTAGTAATAATGATTTTGATAACGTTCGTGTTAAGTAACCCTATGCGATGGTAGAAGTTTACACAAATTGTTTACCTTTTTACTCGGTAAACGGGTATAGTTAATAATTCATAAAACATTTAAATACAACAGTATAAATAGTTTCCAGAATCGTGTTTTACCCGGAGCTAAAATAAATACACGCATATTTGGTTTTGTGGTTTTCCCTGAGGAAAATTTCAGTTCTAGAAGGATCCATAGTTTTCAAAGTAATTGCTTTCAGCTGTGTACTGGGTCTGTACTATATTAATCCAGTTCTCGCAACTCTATGGTAGACTAAACACCTGATTCTCAGTAAGTGCTTTTATCAATTTGACTACATAGTATATTAAGTGGTTTGGGGACGATTTTCGAGATATTATATTGTAACTTATTTAGCTTAAGGGCTCGTACACAAAACTGCGATGCGCTGGGATGCGAATTTGCAACGCAGAAAATTACGACACGAATTGCTGCGATGAGATTTCGTGCGACAAGGGTTTCATGCGTCTTCCAGGGTGACCATTGCTTCGACGACCGTCAACCGAACTAAATGTATTTTAAATTGAAAACTAGGTCGTGACATGGATTGTAAAAAGAAGTATGAAGTTTTGTTATTGCTTAGGAGATACAGGAAAAAAAAACAAAGATTTTGGAAAGATAAGATTTTGATGCGCGATGCGAATCAATTCGCAAGTTCTTGCGATGCGTAGAGGAAGCTCGCACATTTTTGCAATGCGACGTCGCATCGCTGTTTTGTGTACGAGCCCTAATTGCGAAGATGGGTAATTAGTGTGATCCAGAGATCTTCGCTTCTCCTTAAATTAAGCTTTCGTATTATGAGGGCTTAATATGAGACGATTAATAAGGGTAAATAGATTATTAACAATAATTATAAACTAATACGTTTAAAAAACCGACTACTAAAATCTTCTCTTAAGTGTTGCAAACACTTTTATGAAAACCGCATCAAAATCGGTTCAGCCAAACACGAGATAATCGCGCACAAATATACATCAGTACAAACTAAGAACCTCCTTTTTGTTTTTGAAGTCGGTTAAAAAGCGTCTGTATTCTTCAGTGAAGAGTTTAACGATGAAGTCTTATTTTTGCTGTTTAAAGAGGTTAGGCAGCATGCTTATGTCACATTTAAAGGCAATAAAAAATCACCTAGCCGTTTGGAAATAAAAAACCATTCCACCATGATGCCAACCACAGTCACATTTTAGAACATTTCTGACCTAATTGTGACAACAAATAAAAGTCAAAACAATCTATAGAATGCTGCTATATTGTTTTTATTATCGTTCCGCTTAACTGGTCCTCATAGATCGCTGGCTTCCAGTCTTCCACTACGATTAATTAAGCATTCGGCGACGCTCCAGCGGACTCCTGAAACCGTTTGTTTATCGGAGCGGGCGAAAGTTATGCCTGTCTTGTTTTTATGCCTTCCTGGTACCACCGAGCCAGTGGATGCTTGGATGTGTAACTGTATTGCAACTAACATAGATTCTTAGGATTAATCTATATGGTCATAATGCGGTTTTTTAATGGCGTCATCATTTCTTGTTACATTTCTAGGAATACAGTAATATTTTACTATATTAGAATTAACAGTATTTGATAATGTAATGTCTTCTTCTTTTCTTTAAGGTCTTTAATAAAATCTCAGTAGTCGGAGTCTGGAATTGTGCCCGGTATACCTATGGCAATAGGCTCACCCCCTATTACATGGGACTCATAACATAAATAGTGAAAAGTGGGTGTTACATTGTACAGTGGCATAATGTGCACCTTTGCCTACCCCTTCGGGAATAAAAGGTGTGATGTTATGTTATGTTTTTATTTTCATTAATTCTTTACTTGTGTAATATAGTTATTATTATCATTGTTTTTAACCTTCCAAATAACCATCGCTATAGCATAACATCAGATCTAGTGGTACACGTGCATATGCGACCTTGGCACAGCATCAAAAGGTAAACAAGAGCTTAAGTTTTAGACTAGTATACATATATAAAACCGGTACCGTCTGTCCGGTGCATAAAATCACAGAGACGTGCGTGTTGATCAAACGTTTTGCATACATGAATATATTGTCAGTCCACACCAGTGAAAACTGTTCGTTACTTGCCGGTAAAAAATGAAACTGAACTTGCATTTTACTTTTGAAAAATCCAGCACAATTTTATAACGGGATGTTTATTTTAGAGCGTATTTTTGTTGGTCATTTAGTTTTATATTCAAAACAGTTTTATGAGGGAAATACTGGATTTCACGTATCTATTCATATGTTTTGATGTGATTTCTTCATCGATTTAGGGGTACAACTTTTAAGCAGAGCGTCTTTCAGCAGTACAACGATCAGAACGTTATCATCGTTTTCACCTACTAAGACCATAAACTACTTGTTGCACGTTGCAGCAACGTTCAATGTATCCAGTTACTCATAATTTTATCCTTGGTAAACATGATAATGGTGATCAGTAATGTGTAATAGTGTATGAAGCTAAATTATTTAGACCTCAGTCCCCCACGGAGGGAACCCTGACACAGTTGTCACTGCGACACTGTAGGAAACGACCTAGTTCACATGATCCACGTGTTTCAACTATTCTACTATTCTTTTTAATGTTTCGTCGTTATAGAAAATGCATACGAATTTGTTTGCTACGGTTATTTAACGCTAAATGACGTAATTTCAAGGTATCCTGGCTTTGTGATATACTGTTAAATTACTTCTAAAAGAAGATGTGTAGATATTCTGTACCATTTTTACAAGCTGTATCATAATATTTCGTTTATTTTTCCAAAAAAATATTTCGGTGATTTTTCATAGAGAATAATACAAATTGGTCTAATAAGTCTTAACAGGCACGTGTACAAATTAAATAGACGATGCCGGCGAACCAAATAGGTGAGAATCCTAACAGATGACGCCTTGTGCTTTCCTCCCATGGGAAAATGTCCTTATGTCTCCGATATAACCAAAACAGCGGTATAATATGAAGTGATTTTCTATATTTTTTGGGTCAAGATCCCACTTTAATGATGTAACTTCTCTATTTCATTCATCAAAATTACATCTCTGGTTACGTAATTTGGATCATTTTCTATGCAGGTAAAATCAAAATTGAAGAAATTGACTAGAAAAAACCTTTTAGGGTCTTATGTGGAAACTTCTAGAATATAGAAAGATG